TAAAATCATAGCTTCCAGGCTACACTTTGAATGTATGTTGTTTTTCGCTTAGAGTTATGGGAACCAGAAAGACTGCAGATGTGTCTGTGAACCTGTAGTCAAAGGAAAAGTTTTTGGAAATTTTAAAAGACTTTGCCTCACCCAAATCTCTCAGCCAAAAAAAAAAAAAGTTTTTCTTTTCTTTTTTCCCCCCTTATTCAAGCACTCCTCACTTAACAACTGAGTTCTGTTCCTATGATGAGATTATTAAGCAAAATTGTTGATAAGCCAGGGGCTTAAAGGCAGATGTCTGTTGGGCCAGCTGGTGACGGGAGGTTAAGGTACAGGATTCCACATGCTGACTATGTAGTTTGAGTCTCAGACACAGAGGCTTGAAAATCTTGCTGGCTGTGTGTGGGTGCATGCCCCAAAATCCCAACAGGAGACTGTATGGCAGAGGGAATTATCTCAGCCTAACAAAGAGCACAGCTAACATACTCATCAGTGAAAAGCTGAAAGAAAGCTTTTCCTCCAAGGTCAGAAAGAATATAAGCATGCCCCCTCTCATTACTTTTGTTCAGTATAATACTGGAAGTTCTCACTACAGCAATTGGGCAAGAAAAGAAATAAAAGGCAAGAAAATAGAAAAGAATGAAGTAGAATTGTTATTGTTAATGATGTGACCCTAGATTCCTCCAAGAAACCATTAGAACTAATAAACAAATTCAGTAATGTTGTACACAAAACGAATTCCCAAAAATCAGTTGCTTTTTTTTTTTTTTTTTGCCATAGGGTACTTGTGCTCACCAGAGAGATAGACAGAGAGAAACACAGAGAGAGGAAAAATGAAAAATCAGCCCCCAAAAGGAATGGCCATGCTACAGTCCCATCTCCTTCATTCTCCTTGGGATTCTGGGCATGCACTCATGCATTTCCATTGGTTTTTTTCAGACCACCAGATCCAGGATTTGAACCATGGAGTTGGCTATGTGGAATCCAGTGCCTTAACCACTATGCCGCCTGCTGGCCCCGACACTTTGTACACTTACAACAAATTATCCAAAAATAAAATTAAGAAAAGAATCTCATTACAACATCATTAAAAAAACACATAGGAAATAATTAACCAAGGCAGTGAAATAACTGTAGACCGGAAACTATGAAACACTGATTAAAATAAAAAGTTCAGAAGAAAGAAATTATATCCTTATCTCATAAATATCTCTACTCCTTGTCTTATATAAGAAAATTACATGTTTAATATAATTTATCATTTTCTATACAACCAATTCTCCCAACTAGAGAAAATAATCTTTAAATAAACGTCTCAGATTCATTTTCTACAGTGAAATCTAATGATATCCCTTGATGGGATAATGCCTTCATGGTTGAGTTTTTAGAGATTCAGCATATGTGAAAGAAGTCATACTAATCTCTAAGTAGAAAAGAGAAAAATCCCAATATAATCATATCTTTTCTTTAATGTGCAAATAAAATTAATCAAAATGTATTAGAAAATATTTTATATAGAATATCATTATTTATAATGTTTTATATACACATGAAATCTCTAAGTTTCTCAGGATGATTTCCTATGTCTGTAGAGATTCACACATTAAGTCTTTTTTCTTTAAAAAGAAAACACTGGGCTAGCTAAATAGTATCAAAAAAAACCCCAAACAAACAAGTAAATCAATCAGTTTCATGTTAAATGATTATAGAAATATCACTATTCTTCAATAATAAGTAAAACTGTTGAGATGGTTTCTTTGATAAAAACTTCTACATCCAAATATCTTTTATGAAATTGGCTTTTGGGTAGCTGCCAAGAATTCTTAAATATAACCATTGCTAGTATATAAAAATGTAATATGATTTTACATATTCTGGCCCATAGCTTTTCCCAAGAATACTTGTAACCCTAAAAATGAAAGATAATGACTTTAAAGTATGTTCAGACAAAAATTATTTATATACCATTCAGAATATTTTTCCGTGTACTCTTTCTATATCACATGATGTTTTCCTTTTTAAGCTTATTCATTCCTTCCATGAGAGAGAGACAGAGACAAGCATTCCTAACTTGGTCTGTACACTGCAATCCACCCCCCACCCTCTGCACCCTCACAAGCAGGCACCTGCATACCCTTGTAAAGAAAAACCTCAGGATGTGGACCCGAGGCCTTCTGCATCACAGATCATTACATTTACCACTGCACAGCCTGCATGACAGAATGTTTAATATTCTTTCTCAGGAGCTGCCTTCATTGGTATTGCTAGGTCCTATACACTGTGGCCCCAGATATTTGGAGGAAACCTAATGAACCGTACCACCATTCTCTCATGTATCTCTTCGTATCTCAAATCACCAAGTCAGAGAGACAGCCAGATGTTTCTTCACTTAAGGATAAAACATACACATCTTCAACAAGATGTTGAAATATTGTAATTTTTGCAGTTTTATGTACAATCACATTGGAGCGACAAAATGATAGTTTAGCCAAAAGTATCTATTATAGTGTATAGATAATACACAATGTTTGGTATATATTTCTTTCATTACTTAACACTGCCCTTTAAATACATTTCAAGGGGATCCTTTTGATGATGTTTTGTTTGTCACTGTAAGTTAGAAATTAAAATTTCCTCTGGCATTTGCAGCCTACATCTGTTTCGTAGTATGTTAATCTATGAAAAGAATTTGTCATTTTTGCTTAGAAGTCATGAGATTTGTGCCACTCTTTTTCATTTGTCATTGAAACTTGCAGTCATCAATTCTACACAACTGGGGGGCCATGTGCTAATCCTGGCTGATTTCTATAAACATTAGACAGGTACAAAAATAGTTATTAGTGTCCCATAATGAAAGACACCTCAGGGATGTTAATATACTATCTTTTTACTGAAGCTACATAGAGAGTCATGTAATTTATTAGTGTGAATTAAAAGTTCCCATGGAATACAATTAATCTATATGAATACTAGGGAAATAAAAGATTACAACAATTTTGTTAAAATAAGATAATGGTTTTTCTCCTCATAATTTTTCCATCTCTAGCAATAAGTCAACACCAATTAGATAGTGTCTAAAATGCCTGAAAGAAATAGGCAAAATATTCCTTATATCTTTCTGATATTATCTTTACCTTTTTCCTACTAGGATTTCTTAGAATTTTTAAGACACATGGTCGTTCCAGGATTTCATCAGAACATTTGATCAGTAATACAGCCTCTACCCCTGTGGAGGACAAAATATTTCCTAGCAGTTTAAGGTCATGGTGCCTCGATAATTTCTTTGTCTTTATTATCATGGTAGAAAGCAGGACTGCCAATAGTACAAGTGAATACTATTACAGACATAGGGTTTATTCTGGGCTGATATACAGAATTTTATGGAGATTCAAAACCTCGTAAGCAGGACATGTTTGTGACCCTGAGCCATACCAGTAATAAATTCTGAAGCAAACCAGGTGGAGACGGAGGGAAAGAAATAACCAAAACCTATCTCTAAAAGGTGCCAAACCTAATTAAAAACATTAAGAAAAAAGATTCTTTTTTCAGTTTTAACACCAATTTCTGCTTTCCTTAATATCAAAAGCCCTTTTTATACACCTGGCACAGCTGAGTCCTCCAGAACCTGCACCAGCTTCAATACAAATGTGATGACGAAGAGCAAAAAGCCTTGAACCAAATAAGCTACCCTCTGCCTATTTAAACTTCATAGAAAATATGCCAAGGACTAGAGAAATGAAATCAACAGGCTTGCTCAAAGGTAGAACATCTTTAAGACAGACTACCCCACACATGCACATCAAACAAATCACTAAGCTTTCCTCTAAAATTATACCTCAGGAATATTTCCCAGGACAGTTATCCCACCACCACCACCATAGTTCAGATTCTGTTCAATGCAGTTCATTTTCTTAGGAGCCTCTTCTTGTCTCCCTGGTACCAGCTGCTTTGTTTTCTTCTCTTCCCTACAAAGGTAGCAGTTTCGTATTCTGAAATAATACAGATTTGTTGAAAGAGTCCAGATTTGTTATTTTTCTCCTTGATTAGATTTTGGTGGCTCTCATCTGCATGAAGGATAAAACTTTAAATTCTTTTTTTTTTTTTTTTTTTGAGAGAGAGAAAATTTGCACTTGCCAGAGAGACAGAGAGCGAGAAATCACCCCCCCCCCCAAAGGGGGATGGCCACACTGCAATCCCTTCTCCTTCATTCTCCTCTCAGAATTTTGGGCACTCATGTACAAGTGCTTGGCATGAGTTTTAAGCCACCGGGTCTGGGACTTGAACTATGATTGACTACGTGGGAGTCCTATGATGTTACTATTATGCCATCCGCTGATCCCCAAACTTTAAATTTTTGGCATGATGTACAAGGCACTTCCCAATTTGCAGTCACAATCTTCAGTTCATCCATTTTAACTACATCCACATGCCTGATTGTAGCCCTAGGCTGTAATGGGAAGGAAACTGTATTTTATTCATTACTCTTCATTACTCAACAATTATTTACAAATTAATTAATATCAAGGCATAAATGTTTAAATTGACATATAAATAAATATCAAGACAAATGTAAAATTAGACATTATGCTATAGCAATTTTTTTTCCAGTCTTTTTTTAGTGGCCACTTAGAGCTACAACATTAGCTGTTACCACAAGAAATTCTGCTTTTCCTTATGCTTTCCCCTCCTGTGTCTCCCTTCTCTGCAGAGCAGGCTCTCGGGAACGCAGGCTTTGGTCACAGCGCTCCCAGAGCAAAGGGCCCCAGATGGCTTTGCACCTGCCTGCTGGGAGCCTTGCCGGCCAGGGTTGTTGCTGTCTGTCACTAGTCACTGCAGTCGGGGTCCTCCCTCCAGAGACATGGCTACTGTCCCGGCTCATCCCCCCCCCGCAGGGCGGAGACAGCAGGATTGTCCAGAATGACCTTCCCGCGGGGGTCCGAGTCCCTAAGGCCACGTGCGAAGCCCCCAGCCGGCCTCGCGAGCCTGCCTGGCCCTGGGGACACGCCCACGCCTGTCTTTCCCCACAATGCTGTAGACCGGCCACCGCAAGCAGAACAGCGACCACCAGGGAAAACTCTGTCTGGGTTCCTCTTTGACCACAGCGGCCACACGGAAGCAGCTGCAGCTTCGATAAGGGCGGCGTGCTATAGCAATTCTGATCCATAGTTTCAAAATCTATTTGAAGGCAACATGGTATAAGAGACAGGCCTGGAAAAATTACATTTTCGGTTTCCACCTGCCTAAGTGATACGGGATAAAGTACTTAGCTTCTTTATGCTTCATTATGTACATCTATGAGAAAACACAGAGCTATTCTTGTCCTCTACTTAATGCTTAGGTACTGTTGAGTCTCAAACTAAAAGTGCTTAGTAGAAAGTGTATTTAAGTTATCATTTTGCATTTCCGATTTAGATAATGATTACTTCGGAGTTGAAATGATAGTTTCTGACTCCTATCTGCTAAACATAACAAGCCTGAGCACCTCAGAAATGGCCATTCAGAATGTTCTGTATACTCAAGTGCTTAGGTAGAAAGCGTATGTTAGAAGTAGACTCAGAGAAGTTCCAGAGCGGTAAATAACTCAGGATTTTTTTAAGTACTGAAACCATTCCCACCTCTTGTGCTTATGTAGGAGAGCTTAGCAGAAATACATTCTCATTTAACTATTTCTGTAAACTTCCAGAAGCAAGGAAACCATTGCTTCTTTTGTGACACTATAATAATATTGCATCTTTGGCTCCTGTATTTACTCTGAATGCATTTAACTAATCTCTTTTTACTACAAAATTTATAATAGGCATGTGCTAATTCTTGTTGATTATTTGATGACTATCCTTTAGGGAATTTAAATGTTGATATGGAGAAGGTGTAAAATGACTTAGGATAAAATTAATCCTTACATCATAATGGATTTAGTCACTGAGATGGCAATGATAATAACCTTAAATGAATTCTTCTTTCTTTTAACACTTACCCCCCCACCACCATTCATAATTTAGATTATATTGCTCAAGGTAGTTTGGTTAATTATCAGGAAATGTCTGTGTGGATCGCAGTAGTCATTATGACTACATTTTTAGATGAATTAACTAGGTATTTTGGCATCCTTCACTATGCCATGATTCATACTGCTAATCCTGTTCATTTAAAGAAAAACAGTCAAGAAAGTGCCCCTGGCAACACTATAAATGCGATATTTCTTGAATTCCCCAAGGAGCACATGTCTTCAACAGTAAAAGAGAATTATATAAGAGTGGTGACACTTTCCTCTCAATGTTGTCCAGACAGACCCCTGGAACCCAACAGGTTTGCTTCTTCACTATCTGTGGCATGCTGTCAAAATCCAGTGAGCAGTAAAAGCAACTGTAGACACCAGAGACAGTGTGGGAGGGGGGTGAGAATGGCAGAGGGTGAGAAATAAGAAACACGACATAGAAAATTATCGATGATAACATGTAAGATTAAGTCACTATACAGTGTATTTGGGTGGGAAATCACATTTTGTGTGTTGTGCTGATGCTCAGTGAATGAATGTAAAATTAATTAATTAATTAATTATTTTTTTAAAAAAGAAAGAAAGAATATACTCAGGAGGTCCAACTTCTAGCTAGAACTGTAATTGCTATTGGGTATTAGTAACTCTGATTCGGAGGTGACATGAAGTTTTAGACCTTTGTGATGATTTTAAATAGAGGAAAAAAGTGGAAATGTCTTGTACTCAATAACTCATAATCTAACTCTTCAATGGATATTAAAATAATGTAGTTTTAAAAAATATGTGTATTTTAAGCAATATAAATGTATAAGAAATTCAACATCCAAATAAATGCTATAATATTGTGCTGCCTACTTCTTAGTCCATGGATTGGGTCATCGGAAAAGTCATGATGTTTTTTTTGTTTTTCTATGCAAAAACGTGATTTTTTCTGAGGACCCAATATTATGAATACCAATTAGAACATATAGGAAAATATCTTTCTTTGAGTTTACTTATTTATTTCTTCTCTGAGAAATACAGAGAGTGACAGAGAGACAGGTACCTCCAACAGGGTCTTCATGATCCACCCCCAGCTCCACCCAGTCCTGGGATCATAGGCATGCCCATGCCCAGTATACTCAGGGAGGATTCCAGTTACGAACCTGGAACTTCCCATGTGGGCCAGCCTCACAGAGTGTAACATTTTACGGTCGTGCCACCATCGAGCCCCCAGAAAATATCCTTAAATCTTGCTCTGATGATATCCTTTACCCTCCGTCATCTTCATTGTGTATTGCAGCTCCAAAGTGGTGCTTATCCCGGCCCAGACTCAGTTGTTCATGCTAGGATGGTCTTTGTCCTAAAACCACTGAAAAACCAGAAGGTTGAAACACTAACAACTAATGCTCCTGAGTAAATGGTGCTCTGTACGAGTCACGACTGCTGTCACCACAGGACTGAGCACTGCTCCTACGGTCAGGTGGCTGGCTTCTCCTTCACAGAGGGAATCCAAACACGTGCCCTGCTCCTTGCCACGTGCTTATCTACCATCCGATCCTATTGCCTTTAAATCTCACACACCTGCTTCAGAACTACTGTTCTGATGGATTCTGGACCAGCTTTGTTAGGGAGGGAGAAAACTTGAGAATACCTGGCCATGTTTCTGTTCCCATCCTTATCGTAAACACTTACCTCAGGAACAAAATTTTCTTTTGCTCTGTTACCAGTGACATTTTCTTTTCTTGCATCAAACTCTATTTTACAAGAAAGTGCTAATTTGCCAAGTTATTTTTACTTAATGACCCTGCTTTGTATGTTTATTAGGGCCAAGGTCATGTTGTACTATGTCATATTTTTAAGTTATGCAGTAAAAAAAAAAAATGGTTAAAAGCTGTTAGGCTAAAATTAACTAGTGATGCAAAAGACTACATAACTTATAATCTTCTTTCTTCCTTTCTTTCTTTCTTTTTTTTTTTTTTGGTTGTAGTCAGAGAGCACATGTGCTTATGTGCTTGCTGGAGAGAGACAGAGAGAGGGAGGCAGAGTGAGAAATCACCCCCCATAAGGGATAGCCACATCGCAATCCTGTCTTCTCCATCTCACCCCCCTTTCAAGATTTTGGACACATGAACGCACACTTGTATTTCCCAAGCCACTGGGTCCAAGACTATGCAGTCACCTACACGGGATTCAGCTGTTAACCACCATGCCTCTGGCTGACCCTATTATCTCATTTGTATTAAATGTCCAGAAAAAGTAAACCTATGAAAGAGAAAGCAGACTTGTTTCCCTGAGTCTGGAGTTTAATTGAAAACAGGTACAAAGGAAATGTTTATGGTAATGAATATAGTTTAAACTGGATTGTCGTAATGGTTACCCAAGTACATAAATTCACTAACAATAATAAATGAAAATAGAGAATTTTTATGGCATGTATAACATATTTTACCTCAACAAAGCTACAAAATAAAGTCAACAGTCAGAAATAGGTAGAACTAGAAATACAAGTTTAACAAGATTGTCACTTTACTGATAATTGTTGAAGCTGGTTAATGGCTAATGAGGTTCATTACACTATTGTACTTCTTTCACGTTTATGTATGTTTGAACTATGAAAAAAAGTTTAAAAAAAGAAAGTGGTGCATTATCCAACTAGTAAACCAATGCTGCATATTTAATATTGTGTGTCTCTGTGGGAAGCCGCCCACATCAAAATGGTTGCCATGACCTTCACATAACAAAATGACCGGTGTGACCTTGACACGTACACCAGGAACACAGAACTTCCTGGTTCAGACAAACTGACAGGTCCTCAATTAGGTCCGCTGTAAACCCCACCTACTTTCTCCTGCCTTGTGTATATAAGAAAGTGCTCTGGCCCTCAATAAACGAGCGAAACCTTCATACCATCAAGAGCTGTGACACTGTGTGAGCTGTGACACTTCTTTCGCTCCCGTGCTGAGACGCTGCGTGGGTTCCAGACCTCCGCCCCCTCGCTCGGGTTCTCTTCCCGATACGTCCCACAGGCCGGGACATGTCTCTCTGAAGATACTGTGAGACAGATACAGACTCACAGATCATTTAGGTTGTATGAAGACTTAGAGAATCTCTGTCCAGGGCCTGGCCCCCTAGCTTACTAGTTAAAGGGAGTCAGATTCCCATATGGTCAACCATGGCCCAAATTCTGGCCTTGGCAGCTTGAAAATCACATTGGGCATGTGTGGGTTTGTGTATACATGTATGTGCATACCCCAGATCCCAGTGGGACAGAGAATTGGAGGAGGGGTCGTGTGTGACCCTGCCCCATTGAACAGTAGTTTCTCCCTTTCTCTTTCTCTCTCTCTCTGGCACTCTGTCTCTCTCTGGAAGGCACACATACCCTCTGGCAATTAAAACATATATGTATATATACATTAAGGCCAACAGATGGCGTAGCAGTTACGTCACTAGACTCTCACAGAACTGACCTCCATTCAAGCCCCAGACTTGATGACTTGAAAAATCATGCTGGGCACGTCACAGAGTGTACCTCAAATCCCAAGAGGAGGATGGAGGGATGGAGGAGAAGGGATTGTAGCATGGCCATGCGCTCTCCGGTGAGTGCACATGCCATAGGGCAAAAACCTCTTAAAAATAAAAAAGATGTGTGTGTGTGTGTGTGTGTGTGTGTGTGTGTAGTTCAGACACTTGATTTCAGACGCAACAACTATGGACAGACATCAGCTTGATTTAATCAAGGTTGTACCCTTAATGACATTTTACTTATAATCATCCACAGGCCTAAGGGTTCATGACCTCAGTATTCGCTATTTACGTATTTTTTACATAGATGTGAAGAAAAGAAAGGCAAAACTATGGAGACTATGTAATCACAGTAGAGTCACAACACAAATCTAGATATTTTTAACACTTATTTGCTCTTTCATGGGCTTTATATAGATTTGACATTAAAGGTAATATTTAAGTAATCTCCTATTTCTCCCCTCATTATTCATGGTGGATTATTAGTGTCTATTTCTAATCAAAGTTCAGAGCTTTTCTATTCCTACACTCACCCGATGGTCCCTCCTCCACCTCATTACCTCAGTTTTCCGTCTGCATCCTATTCTTTGGTTTGACATCAAATTGCGCTCTTTCGCATTAAAGTTGGCAGAACATGAGCATG